ACGCGACCGCCCTGCCCGGTAGCACCCGCATCCCGCCCTCCTGCGCGCCCGCCTGCTTACCCCGCATCCGCGCAACCACTTGCGTGCGCCCGCCTGTGTAATCGAGTTCGCGCGTCGAGCCCGCGTCCCACCTGCGCGCGCAGCGTCCTGTGTCTTGTTGGGTCAACCCGACAATCAGAAGGGTCGTGTCCGAGTTTCCGACCTGTTTGCCTACCCGGGTCGGGTTAGGGTCGACCCGATTGAACCCGGGTTAATTTCGATCCGAACCCGACTCTTGACCTGAAATTGACACCCCTACATATAAGTACACTATGGAATTCCATCAACCCAATATATGTTAAATAATTAGAATTATTATCATTTTCTTTTAAAAAATTATTCATGATAATTTTAAACATCTAAAATATGTAAAATATAGTGAATAATTGAGATCGCTTCCTGCATCTATGATCTATGTGAGATTATACAGTTTGATTAATAATTGGAGAGATTGGAATCCCTTCCTCACAAGTAAAAAACAATCAATAAAGAAGATCGAGCAAGAGGGTACGTAGAAAGGAAGCCACACGTCAGCTACAGTGATTCTTGCATGGCTTCACGTGCGTGCATGTGCATGATGAAATGATCTATCAAGAGCACGTCAGTATGGCTTAACCTTTCCAAAAGTCCTGGCGCTGCAAGGGACTTCCATATTTGACAACTGCACATCTATTAGTAGAAATAGTAATTGCATGTTTTTTTTTTTTTCATAACAAATTATTGATGCTGAAAAGTAAACTAAGCTTTTATGAATTTTTTAAAATACAAAAATTATGCCATATTTTCATTAAATGAGTTTAAATAAAAAAGAAAATTTTAAAATTTAAAGTGATGTTAGTCGTTAGGCTAACGCCCAACTCATGTTGGCATGGCCTGATTCATTCATGGGGTGCCCTACTGGTCCAAGTCTTCCGCCTCGCCCGATTGGCCCTACGCCACTTAACTCGCTCCCGGACCACGTTACGTGCCTCACTGGCCAGATTGTCCCTAACTTGCTCCTTGCCTGTGCCCAACCCACTCACATGCCCGATTGGCCCAAACCTGCTCCCGACTCCCGATTCCCTTTGCGACTAGCTATATATAGGCGCTCCACTCCTTACTCCCTTTGCGACTATATAGTCTTATCACTCCATTTTCTGTCTTGATACCTACTAGCTTCCTAGTTTTGCATTACTTCCTGCTCCCAAAACCACATGTTGCATAGGGGGGCAATTGCCCCCCTAAAAAAAAAAAATTTTATAGGAGTAAAAAAAAATTATAGGAGAGAAAAAAAAAAAATTTTCCCCTCCTAAAAAAATTTGTTTGCCCCCCTAAAAAACTCTTTTGTGCTAACTTGCCCTAAAATATCTATATATTTATTCACATATAGTTCTAATATTCTCTTTCATGCTTTTCATGAGAGTTTAATTACATTTTTTTATTTATTTTTCTTACTTAATTTTTTTTAAAAAACTTTTTTTAATATATAGATATATAATATTATTTTTTTTAATATTTATTTATTTTGTGTTGTATTTGCCCCTCAAAATTGAAGCTGATTAATTCCGCCCCGTCTTCCTCCTTTACTACTCGCAATTATGTTTATAAATGTATTGTATATATATGTATATATGAAGCAGAAACTAATGAGTTTTTGTTCTTTGTAGTTTTTTTTTAATAAGTACTCTATTTAGCTTCTGATTTTGGTGGCTGTTTGTAGCTAGTAGTTTTGGACTAACTCCATGTTTGTACTATAGCATATTTTTCTCTATATATATGTAATAGCATGTTGGACTAATCAAATAAATTTTTCCATGAACGGTGGTTTGATGATGATCCATGAACGGACAGTGGTCCGACGACGGTTAACAAAAGTTTGTCGGCGGTGCAGTGCTTGAGATTTACGCTGTGATCCTTAGAGCCTTAGAGCTCTCTCCAATATCGAGCCAAAATTTCCATTCCCGAAGAGAGCATGAGCTTATTTATAGATTTTTTGCGATTGTCATGCTCCATAAATATGAAGAAAGTTCTCTAGATAATTTTGGAGTGCTCCATCAGACGACCCACATTAATTAATTCCCTCGATCATAAAATATTTGTAAAATATTTAAGTGCCTTAATGATGTTAGAATTATGCGAACTTGGGCTCGTTGAGCCGCTCAATTCGATTGCAAGCATGCTATATTTGGATATCATTTTATCATACAATTTATGCTTTGAATCTTCCAAATGTGCTTCAACTCCTTAATTTTTATTCATTTGGGCTTGGATTGGATCGATTTTGGTGTTGTTGGTCTAACTCTTCAAGATGTTCAGCTTTACAATAAATTTGCTAAAATTGGAGTTTGGATGATTCTGAATTTAATTTTGAAAGTTGCCACTACTATATATCTCAAGATTTGTGCTGCATCGAGGTAATTGTTGGTGATGTATCAATTCTAATATGCATCGATAATTGTGCCTGACCAAATAAATTTTCATATTTATTATATTAAATTGTATTCTATTCTTGATAAAATTTATAAACCAACCAACTTTATCCCAAAAGAGATCGTGTCTGTGGTCGAGTGTTCGACGGAAGAAATTCCTCCCATCTCATCCAGGCTCGAATCCCCTATCAATAAAAAAAAATAATTAAAAAAAAAAAAAAACCTCTATCCCAAAAAATACTAAACTGCTCAACCAATCACCCTCACATTTTTCATGTGTTTTTTTTTTTTTTTGGAACCGCCCGCACATTTTCAAAGGTGAAGCTTTCATCCTCTTTGATTCATTGACTTAAATTTATGAACTATATGCGGCTAATAATTAAATACTAACATGACCTGATTGGAATGCTTTGAGGTCCCCTTGAAATTAGCAGCAGTCCAATTAATTTTGGAGGCACATATTTCCTCTCGTGGACCCATCCTCACTTCTCCACTAAATTAATTAGCTATCAATCATGGCGTTGACGATTTGATGTCACTTCATTCAGTATTTTTTTCTTTTTCTTCTCATAAAGATCAGTTGAAAGAAATGATAGATATCACATACAAAATATTGGAATTCAAAATCTTTTAATTAACAATCAAAGTTCTCAACCAACCAATAGATCAAAATGAATACTGCGTACTTCATTCTTTTTTAACTAAACCAAATATGTTATTTAGATGCCACATGAGTTTAAAATATTGAAGTTTAACGTCCTCTTATAAGGAGAACAATCAAGATGACCATCCATTATGGCTTATGTTTTGATATCCATTATTTGTTGTCAACCGATCAGCACATATCAACGAGTAACTTATGTCAACATGTACTAACATCCAATGCTCATCTTTTTAGTTGTGTAATTGCCCATTTTTATAATTAAAGAATGATCTTGCCATATGTTACGTACCTAACTTTCGATATTCCTCATCAACCATCTTATAACTCCTCTAATGATCGAAACTTGATGTTCTTCAACAATTGTTATATGACACATACCTTATCAATCACTTAATCTCCCTTACTACCCAAAAAATGACCACCTTTTGGTCCTAGCTTTCTTTGGAGAAAATTTTGACCCCTCAAGTGTATTAGTCTTCGCAGCGCACTACAATCACATGAGAAGTATTTTTTTTTTTTTAAATTGAAACCCATTGAGGGGCTTACGCGTTTATAGAAAATAGATTTACAACAAGTCCTTAAGGGGACTATAAGCTCAACTAGAAAAAAATGAAATACAACCAAAGAAAAGAAAAAACCCTAGAGAGCCACAAGTCCCAATCTAATTATAATAACGAAAGACAGGAATCAGCAAACTATAGTGCAGCCAGAAGACTAAGAAGTCCATCACTCGACTCTTCCAAACTTCATTCTTCACTTGACAAAGCCTCCAAACTTCATTCTTCACTCTTCACTCTTCCAAACTTCTGTCTCCAAACCTAAATCCGCATCCGAAAGAAGCAAAATAACATTTCTTCTCTATTACAATCACAGCCTGCATCAAAAACAAAGAAAAAAACTGCACCAGCAGACAATTAAATCATTCAAAATATAACTACTATCAATATAAAATGATTAATCACATAATTGGATATAGAAACCCCTCTATACCAGCAGTCAAGACACCACTACAGCAATACAAAAAGCCAAGCTCCAAAGACCAAGGAAAAAAAACTTAAAATCAGCAGACCCCAAAACTTCACACCAGCCAAACCCCACAACAAACAAAGCAACTAACAGTAGCTATCACATGAGAAGTATATCATGTTTCATGTATATAATATTAATTAACATCTTTTTAAATATGAGGAAGAGAGCCATTTATAAAGCTTGATGCATGCATGCCAATGAAATAATTTAAAAATTGGGATAGGCCTCGCAATATTTTCCTTTCTAAGATTTTTCTTGAGAAAATTATGTATCTCATGCATGTTTCTCTCAGCTTATATGTTTGGGTGCTTAGCATTTTGAATGAATATTTGCAGCACTATCTACAAAGACATCTCTTATGTAATTCCTACATATTTTTAGGTATCTTCCCACTACTAAAAAATGTGGCTTTTCACAGCCCTTGCTATTGGCGGTTTAAAAACCGCTGTCAAAACTAGGCTTTATGAGCGGTTTAAATCGGTGCAAAAACCACAAATTTTAATTGCTTCTATAGCCGAAACCCTACTAATACTGGTTGGACTATCGCGAACCGCAATATCTCCTTTCGTTTGAGAATATATATATATATATATATATATATATATATATAATCAACTCGCAGAGAGATTTTTTTGAAAAAATTGTATATGGAACCTCTTATAGAAATTTTTACAAATAACTTTTATCTCCATTCATTTTGCAATGAGACTTATGATCTTCTGATTTTTTTTTCTTTGACGTCATAATTTCAATAAAAGTAAATTTAGCACGAGTTTTTTTAATGATTTCCAATTGGTCTTTTGTCCCCTATATATATCTATCCATCCTTCTTCTTTCTCTACCTTCGCAGAATAAATAACCACCACAGCTTCCTCCAGCTTAAAACAGCTTTCTCTTTCCTGAGTTTTCCCCATTGCAAGGGAGGAATCCACTGACCACTCCATGAACAGAGATCAATACTCAGCCTCAGGTACCTCTGAGGAGAGTGGCTGGACCTTTTACTTTGATGACTTTCTAGCTTCTCGGAAGCGAGAGCTCCGCCCATCTTCATCCTGTGTCTCCATTGCCTCCATTACTTCTTTGGTCTCTGATGCTGCTTCGCATGTTGCAAGGAAATCTACAGTAAAATCAGACCTTAGCTTGAAGAAAAGAAAAGCCGAAGGAGTCTTCTTTTTAGAAGACGACTCTTTGGAAGACACTGCTTGCTCAACGATTAATAGCCCAAAGGTTTATCAAACTTGAATTTTTAGTTTTTTTTTTTTTTGAATTCTTATGTTAACCATTATGTTCAATTTATTTTAATGAGTAGGCTGTTCGAATGGAGGGAGATGACAAAAATGTTTCTCAGATAAATAAGGTTATCTGAGAATATATATTGTTTTCGGTAGGGAAATTTCGGGTTGTTTAAGGTTGATTATTTATAATTTTTTTGTTAGGAGGAAGGAGCTCATAGCGAGGAATGTGGACCGGATTACATGAAGGAAGCAAGAGAGTGTACTGAGATGAAGAAAAGAGGACCCTGCCTTCTTCCTTTGTCAATCTTTGTAGATTTTCTTGCATAATGAACACATTCTCTCTCTCTCTCTCTCTCTCTCTCTCTCTCCCCCTCCCCCCCCCCCTCCCCCTCTCTCTCTCTCTCTCTCTCTCTCCCCCCCTCCCCCCCCCCCCCCCCGCGTCTCTATTCCGGTCTGTAACTTATGCAAGTTTATATAATCAAATAGGAAAGTGGCTTTTCTTGATATGAACAACATAAACTGAGCTTCGAGCAGGTCTTCTTACTTCAAGCTTTGTTTGATATTTAGGTTAGGAAGGAGCAACAAAGAGAAAAGCTAGTTTAAAATGGGAGAGGGATGTCTTAGAAAAAACGATTCATTTCTCTAATGTAAGAATTCCAATGTGAGTTTCTACTACTAAGCCCGAAGCTTCTCATCTCAATAAAGCCTAAACCAGTGGCACCTCCTAACTTCTTAACAAAAGATCTCCCTCCTACAAGCACCGGAAAATTAATCTCCTTCCTTCAATCTACCCTTCCCTCCCACTTCTTCTCTTTATTTGTTTGTGGTGATTGAATGCAAAAACTCTTCTTATAAGCTTCTAGCTATTTATAGTGGAAACATATCTGTATAAGTTTGGAGATAAATTGTTATAAGATACCACAAGAAATTTGAACATTTCTTAACATTATAATAAAATTTTATTACAATTCTTATACTGTCAATGAATAATCTTTTTAAGATTTTGATATTATTGCAAGATCTTCAAAATATTCTCGGAGCTCATGAAAATGGATGTCAAAGAATTGCCTTTAAAGATATAGAAGATTCAACCTTAACTTATTAAGATTTTATTATAAATAACAAGTTTTAGCTCCATAATTCCATAAAAAAACATTTCTTTTTGTCCTCAACAATATAGTTTATAATAATAATATTTATCTGACAATCAATTAGCTAGAAACCATCTGTTAAATCAGGATGATTATCAGATGTTTTATGCATAAAACTGTTTTAAAGTCATAGGTTAATCTTTTCATCCTACAATATTGATATTATTTTACCACATCTAATTCTCTCTCATCACAGTCTTAGGTTTTTTCCCAGGATAGATTCGCGGTTGGATTTTATAGATCCCAAGCTTTATTTGTGCAAAATAAAAATCCTATCAGGCTGATAATAGATTGTTAAATGCAGAGTCCGAACGGAAGAGCCATCCAAATTCTATGAGGGCACACAGTAAATACTCACAGAATTTGGACAGTTCTCCTGTCCTGCCTCTGCACGTAATAGTTTCTCCATATTTGGACATACATGTGCCGGCGAAGACATCTAATGACTCCATAAACATATTTTCAGAGTGAAACATTCATCCACAAAGTTGAATAATTAGTGCCAAACCTTATTAAAATATCTGTCAAAGGTATCTCTGCATCCTTAAAGCAGGAATTGAGCAACCTCCATATGAACAAAAGGATGAGTAAAATCCAACGATTGTTGAATTATTAAATAACAACATGGTGTCTTTGAATTTCCTGCACTGTTGGTAATCTATAAAGCCCCACTTGGAACAATGAATTATGGAAACCTAGGATCCCACAGCATTTATATTTGCTCAGGCATGTCACATGGCACCTCTGGCTTTGCTGGCAATAATAAAAAATTTTAATTACAAAGATAGGTTGTGGGATCCTTTCTATATTCCCTGACAAAAAGCAATGGCATGTTTGGTTAGATCAAAGAACTGGTAATTAGGTTGAGTTAATAATTCTATTAAGTGATGCTCGTTTTTATCTGAACATTCTTTCTTCAATATATTTATTGTTAAAATTTTAAAAATGTATTTTTAAGATGCCAAAAGTCATTTTATAGTTATTTTTAAAGTTAATGAGCTAAAAATGATAATTTAAATTACTACTAAATAATCAAGCATTTTAAACAAGTTGCTTGTGTTTATGAATAAAAGTAATTTAATATAGAAAAGTAAAGACTATCATATTAAATAAATTTGTAATTACGTATTAAATGAGTATATTATCATGCCTCAATAGAGCTTCTTGACGAGTTTATTCACGAGCATTAAATGATATTATTTATGATCACATAAACAAATTTAACATCAAGCTATCCAAACTTGTTTAGTTATCCATTGAGTATTTATAAAATAGTTCAAACTTGTTCTTATAGTTAATTAAATGATAATAAATGAACTTTTAACAAGCCAAGCTATAATCAGCTTGCCAAGTTGATTCCTTTGTAGCGGTATTTGGTGGTTTTAAAATTCATCAAGATTATATATAGTACTTTGATTAAAATATACTCACCCATCTTTTCTCCCTATGAAGACCTGAGTCATTTTAAGGAAAAATTATTAGGTGCGCAGTGCGCACCGTCAGCACTCCGCACCTAATAATCTCTCCATTTTAAGGACTAGGACATGATTCCTATACTTGGTACTTGCATATTAAAGATGAGGGGGTCCATTGTTTAATCCAAGTTACTTCCAGGAATTTCATATTGTTTTGTAGTTATTTGATACTTTCTTAAGTTTCTCTTAATTTTTTCACTCCATATGTAGTACCATAGATAATGTTTGATTTCTTCTTCATACTCATTTGTTTTATCAGAATTTGGATTACTTTATTCTTTGCTGCACTTATATCTTGAGCTAGTGAGAATAAAAACTCCTTTGGCTTAACTTTTTTGTGGTAATCAGTTTATTTCTTATTGACTGGACCGACTGGTTATGGTATAGAACACTGATTAATGCGTTTTTTTTCTGTCGCGTCCCTTTCAACTGAGGGGACATTAAATCTGGACTGCACTTTTCACTTATTTAATATGATGTTTTGAAGTAACCCAAAGCATTTATGATGAATAATAATATATCACGACAAGCAATGGGTTTCTAGGAGTATATAGCCCTGCAAGGTTATGAGTGCAATACGCTAGCTTTCTGCATTGAAGAATAAAACAATTAGTCTTTCTTCATATATATTACATAAAAAGAAGAGGATGGAGATGTGAGAAAATGGAAGAAATAAGATGCTGGAAGGTTGTCATTAGTTGCTTTTCTGGATGATTGCTGCTTATGAATGATTGGTTGATGAGGAAAATTCACATGATCGATTAGTTAATTATATAATTTTTTTTTATTTGTGAATGGAATTCTGCACATATTTTTCAGAAAAGAGAAAGATCCATTCTTGCAGCATCATGGAAGTTCATATAAGTTGTATCACTAATCATTCAGTCAAAATGAGTAAAACGAATAAAAGTTTGAACATGCGCAACAAGCAAAAATTAAACAGAGGCCTTATGATGACCCGGTTAGGAAAGTTGAGGTGTTAGATTTGACTTATGTTAAGAAAGATAGAGGTAGACCTAAAAAGGCTTGGTTAGAAAATATTAGAAATGATCTTTATTTATTGGATTTAAATGAGAATTTGATTTTTAACAGGGCACAATGGAGAAAAAGGATTCATGTAGCCGACCCCATATAGTGGGTCAAGATGATGTTGTTGTTTAAAAAAAAAAAAAAAAAAAAAAAAAAGATGATGTTGTTGTTGTTGGACGTCAAGCACTGTCCGGATATCAACCAGAATGCGCCACGTCACCCTTCGCATGCTATCGCAACTTGGTACTGCTCGGTACCGCTCGGTATTGCGACTCGGTATGACTGACGTGGCGCATTCTTGTTGGTTTCCGGACGGCATTTTTTGTCCGACCTCCACACATAATAATTTCTCGTGCAACAAGATATCACAGGATTATGAAGCAAAAAATGCATACCTCAAATTATTTGATGAAAGTTCTTTAAAATATATAATTCACCAATGCAATAATTGATCTAGCATTTTAGACAATATTATATAAAAATGAATAAAAATAAGGATTCACAATGCTGATCTCAAATAGTAGAGATATGACACCCACCCCAGAAACCTGCTGACCCACACTTGATTGGGCCCCACATAAGAGGCGTTGCCGCTCGAGGGAAATCAAACACAAGAGGGTTAAGGTAGTTTTCACATTACTCTCACAAAACTTCATATAAGTTGAATTAAAATATCATAACAAAACCAAGAAATGGTTAAGGAGAAAGAAGGGGGATAGAGATGAAGAGTTGAGTCTTTGAAGAGTTTTTGCAAACTGTAGGAAATCAGAAATGAGGGAAATGAACAGCCAAAGTTTGTTGGCTTGTCATGTTGATTTAATGGACATGGCCAATATTGTAGTACAGTGCATGAGCCATCATCAGAGTCCAGTGCTGCTACAGTGATCTCTGCAACTGTCTTTTCCTCTTGTATGTTAATCTTCTCCATACTAGTTTAAGGTAGTTCTCTAATCAATGGCCAACAACTCAGTTGTTTTACTCTCGATCTATCCTTCAATAATTTCATCAAATTTTTTTTCCCGATATACTTGCAGATTAATCTTTACTGTCCACAGAAAATTCATCATAATTAGTTTTCATTTGGTTTTCCAAGGAGATGTTGGCTTCACTTGCTTTTAAGATTTCATTTGGAACTGATTTCTTAATGTTTCTTAAAAATATTTTTTAGCTAAAATTTTTTAGTTTTTAATTAAAAATGAATTTTAAGAGCATTAAAAAAACAGTCCCAAATAAAATCAAAATATCACTGCTGATTTTCTAAAGAAGTGCTGTAATCAAGAATAAAGTTATATTTTATGAAATCAAAAAAGTTCTTCAAAATATTTTTGAAAGAGAGGTTCAATCACTTTTTTTAATAGTTTCGGAGCAATATACTAACTCATAATCCAATCACTATAGAAAAAAAGGGTTTTGATAGTGAAAATTTTGAGCTTTTGTGACAATTTTCGGCACACAAAAAGCCAACAATGATTATAAAACTGCATGCTACAAGACCGTCTTTGAGTATGGCAAATTATTAATTCGGTCATTGGAGATTGGTCCGGATATTAATAAAATACTATTTTAAAATAAGCGCGTCAAAAGCGTAGGTAAAGCGAAGTCAAAGCGCAGTCAAAATGCACCTAAAGCGCAGTCAAAACGCACCTAAAGCGCAGATGACATGGCATGCATG